GTCCCCAGGAAGGGACCCATTCTGGAGTAGATTCAATTCCCAACAGATCCACCTCAGACTGATTCCAATGCCTGGTCTCAATGACCAAATTCTAGGCAAAGGTGAACGTACAAACACACCCCACAGCATTCATTAAGTCAGAATTCTGGAAAAAGTGAAATTGTCTTTCGGGCTTAATTTATTTCTGCCAACTTGTTTTGTTTGATTGTAACATACATTTAGAAGATGCTTGCCCTTCACTTTCCAGTCTCCTTTTAGCCTTTGTCAGTAACCTTGCAGGCTCTCCACAGGTGGTTCCATTTGTAATCCATTTGACACAGCAAGACTATCATAATTAATGAAGCTCCCTACAGCACTGCCAGTGACCCAGAATGTAGGACAGGAGAGGCGCTGAAGCAATGGAAAGAACAGTGGGCTGAGAGCCAGGAGACCTGAACGTGGTCAGGAGCCTGCTGTGGGGCTTTGTAGAAAGAGGGCAGCTCGCCTTTCTTTTGTGCCTCTCATTGTCTCCAGTCTCACACTGGAAGGATGGGAAAGAAAAGGCGCTGTCTGAAAGGAGGCCACAATCACAAACCATTAAAATTCCTGCTCTTGGCTACCTTCCTTTATTTGTCACTGAAAATCACTTCACAACAAACTGTTGTCAAGTCAAGTTTTGATTGTGGTAGGAAGCTGGGGGAAGATAGGACTGACTCTTTCAATGCTAAGGTCAACAAGGTGAACAAGGAAGGTTCTGAAGTGAGGACTAGGGTGGAACCGGGAGAAAGCAGTTCCTGAGCTCTTCCTTCCAGGGATGTTCCCCCAAGGGCCTGTCCACCAAGATCATCACATGGTCAGGGTTTGAGGTAGGAACAAAGGGAACCAGGCATGGTATCTTTCCCCTTTTTTTCTCTCTGCTTCAAACACACATGTAAATGGAATCAAAAGAGAAAAGAAATAAGAAGCCAGAAAATAACCAGATGGCTTTCTATAATGGTTTTCATCCAGTTACAAAGATGTTTTGACAATAAGGTCCTAGAGAAAAGAACTGGAATATATTTTTCCACATTTCACTCCATACTATTCACCTACCCATAGACTAAACAGATCAGCGGCAAAAGATTTCCAGGAAGGTCATGGGAAGGCTCCTATGGTCTAGCTTGGTATACAGAGTCAGAGGCATCTGGCTGATTTGTTCATTAAAACGCTGCCATATACATCTGCTAAAAAAAAAAAAAAATGTTCCCAGAGGGGCCCAAGGGACCTGCTCTCCTTCCCTCAGGCTTTCTCAAACCCTCTGGTTCAGATTCATACCCCCCTGTCTCCACTGGTCAGCTCGTAGTGACATCATGCTATGAGTCCCCACAAAACCTGTAAAAAACAGAGATGTGGCATCTCATGCCAAGGGTCCTATTTTTCCCCTAAGTGAAGAAACCTGAATTTCCCTGAATGGAAGCCTTCACGTCATTTTTTTTCTTATTATTCAAAATCCTACTGCATCATTCCCTCCTGAACAGCTCCTTGAATCTCCTAGCTTTTTCCTTTTCATTCTTTATACAGATTTAGGGTTTCAGTCCTGAGTATCAATTGTTTGGATTATTCCCTTTTCACTCATGTTTTTACTCACAGTATCGCTCATTTATTACTATTATTATATTTTGAAACTGTATTTAAAATTTTTTGTTTATAAAGGGAATAAAAAGTCACACAAAATATTTCTACTCTTCATGATTATAAAATGTCCCAAGTAAATAAACTGAAATTTCTGTTTTTCCATTAATGCGTGTTTTGGGAACCATTGGATGCATTTTCATGAAATGTGGAGGGGATGTTTGGGATGGTTTGATTTATACTAGAAATTACACGGCCCACATGCCATTTACTCTGCGTGCCCTGGCAGATGTCCTCTTGGGCAGCTGATAGTGAGGTACAGGGAGGGGGGGCCCATGCTGCCCATGGGGGGATTTGCCAAACATATAAAGAAACTAAGAACAGCTTCAGACATGAACTCCAACTCCAAAGTCCCAGGGACCAATGTTCTGCACTGCGGGCTCCAGATTAACGAGCGGAAGCCCGGGCTGTTCTGTTGTATGATGATGCGGCATTCTCCTGAGCTAGACCGGCTGGCCGGCTGGTAAAGAATACCAGTACTAGCAACAGTCCTCACAATAAAGCATCTGTCCAGTGTATGCTCTCTGCAAGGTCGGGAGCAGACACAAGACTTGCGGTGCTTCATTCAAACCCCAACAGCCCGCCGAAGTAAGTAATGCTCTCATCTCCTTTTCAGAGATGAGGAAATTGAAATCAATGGATCTTAAACAGACTTCCAGGGCACAAAGTTGGTAAGTGGCAGAGCCAGCATTCGAACCCAAGGGTCGTCTCCATCCCAAGTCCCATGTCCCCACCACCCTGCGTATTTCCAGCAACAAGCTTCCAAGCTGTGGCCGGAGAGCTTCCTCCTCACTCCACTCTATCTGCTTCCTGAAACCATTGCGAGGTCTCCAAGCCCTATGCGCAGGGCTCAAGCCCATCAGTCTGATCCCAGGCCCTGCAGGGTGTGCTTCGCGGCCGGTGACTGACGCCCCACACGCAGCGTCTTCCTTTCTGACGCCCTGCCTCCAGCCCACACCGCTCAGGCCACGCTACTTCTCGGCCTCTTCATCTGGCGTTCTCACTTCCACCTCTCCACCTTCTGCCACGCCGCTCCCCGAGCCAACAGGCTCTCCAGCTCTGCTGCCAAGTCCTCTCAGAGCCAGGCGGCACCCTGTCCTCCCTCTGCTTTGCTCAGTGGAAGCCAGAGGAGTCTCTTTCTGACTCCAAACACCCTTTCCCCACCCTCGACGGAGCGCTCTCTGAAGCGGACGCCCCTCCGCAGACGTCTCCGGCCGCGCATGCTCAGTGTAAGAGCTGCGGGTTGTCCTTCATACGCATCATCAGGCCCCCCACCCCCACCTCGGGCCGCCAAGTCCCGCGCATGCGCAGTGTAAGTGCTGCAGGTAGTGCTTGGTACATATCATCAGATCATCAGATGCCCCCCCTCCCCCCCCAGTAGGGGCAGCCAAGACCCGCGCAGATTTCATAAACATTTACTGCGTTGTTCTACTGTGTTCTAGGCGTTGCTCTAGATACGGAAGATAAAGTAATAGTTAACAAAAGCGTGTAGAGGCCCTTCCCTCATGGAAGTTAACGTTCTAGTGAAAATACCTCTCCATTCCTATGTTAAGCTGTATATTCCCACAGAATAGCTCTGGGGACAGACAGACTGGGATCACTTCCCAGCCTTTCTACTTACAGTCTGTGTGACCTTGGCTGAGTTAGTTAACCTCTCTTTGCCTCAGTTTCCTGCCAGTTGGGAAACATTAATAGCCTTTCCCTTAAAGTTGTTATTAGAATTAAATAAGTTAATACAGTTAACACATGTGAAGTATTTAGGATAGTGGTTGTGACGTTCTGGTTATAATAAGGCATGCCTTTGGTCTTGCATCTCCTTCCTGGCTCAAAGCTCCTAAAACCCTTGGAATTTCCTCAGGGATGATAGCAATAGAGGCGTCTTTTGTTATGTTAATGAGATTACTTTAACAAAAACCGAGGAAGGATGGGGGCTGGTTGCTAGGAGAACCAAAGGTGTGATTAGAGGGTTGGAACTTTCAGACCCACCCCCCAATCTCCCCGGCTGGGAGAGGAACTGAAGATTGAGTTCCATTTCCAATGGCCAGTGATTTAGTCAATCGCACCTATGTAATGAAGCCTCCATGAAAAACCAACAAAGGACAGGTTCGGAGAGCCTCTGTGTAGGTGAACAAGTGATGTACGAAGCAGCGCATGCTGGGGAAGGGATGGAATCTGCTTGTCCTTCCCCAAACCCGATGCTTGCATCTTACATTTGGTTGTTCCTGAGTTATATCCTTTTGTGATAACTGCTGATCTAGTAAGTAAAATGCTTCTCTGAGTTCTATGAGCTGCTCTGGCAAATTAAATAGACTCATGCAGGGGGTCCTTGGAACTTCCAACCTGTACATCTCAAGTGGTGGAGGAGGGCAGTCTTGTAGCCCTTAACTTAGGGGATCTGGTGCTGTCCACCAGGTCATCTCAGAATTCAGATGAATTGCAGGACACCATGCTGGTGTCCACGAATTGCTTGGTGGTGTGGGAAAACTCTTCCACACATTGGAATTAGGTGCAGAATCCAGTGATGCACTGTAAGGTCTCAATTTGTTAATTATTATTACTTCTTTTAGATAACTAAACATCTAGATGGCAGAGGAATTTCTTTGGAAATTTCTTTTTCATTTATTTATTTATTTATTAAAAGATTTTATTTATTTGAGAGAGAAAAAGAGCACACTGGAGGGAGGATGAGGGGCAGAGGGAGAGAAAATTTCAAGCTGACGCCATCCTGAGTGCAGAGCCTGAGGCAGGGCTCCAACTGATGACGCTGAAATCGTGACCTGAGCCAAAACCAAGAGTGGGATGCTTAATGGACTGAGCCACCCAGGTGCCTTCCCTTTGGAAATTTCTTTAAGTGTCCTCCTCTAGGCTGTAAACTTCTTCTTCTTTTTTTTTTTGTAATTTAAATTCAGTTAATTAGGTGTTATTGGTTTCAGAGGTGGGGCGGGTCAGTGATTCCTCAGTCTTATAAATAATACCCAGTGTTCATTACCACATGTGCCCTCCTTAATGTCCAGCTTCTTAAAGGCAAGGGCCAAGTCTTCAGTTGTTTTGTATTTGCCATACCTGGGATAGTGCTTTCTAGGGCTTGTCAATGAATATATCCTCTTGACTGACAGGGCCAGTGGAGGAGGCCTCTGAAGGTCAGAGTGTATCTTGGCTCTCCTTGGAGCATAACTGTGTTCTCCTGAGAGGCTCCATTTTCATTATTGTATCTTTTTAAAGAGCGAGGAATGTATACTCAGTGCCTTCTATTGTTTGTGTAAAACAAATTTGTAATTTCTCAAGAAACAAGTCCCAAGGTTATCATGTTAAAAACATCCTTTGCCTCAAAGAGAAATGACAAGACTTACCTTGATTTTTCAATGGTAAAGGCATAGTTTCCCTGAGTTTGCTTAAAAGGTTTTTCATTTCTCGCATGTCTCTGTAAAAGTGACAAAAAGAAAAAAATCAGCTGTAAATTTTTGAAATGCAATCCCAAACAGTCTGTCCTGTGAGACAATTGAGAGAGGAGAGTCTGCGCTTAATTGTACTAGCTCTAGTTTCCAGTAGGCAAATATTGAATTTATTTTGCTTTTATAAGAAAAAAATCAGAGACTGCTGTCTCTGGAAGGAATGGGAACTACTCTGGCAAACATTTCCACAGGGCATTCTGCCGAAGGAGCCCTCATCTCTGCCTTGGGTTGGACCTGGCTGAGGTCAGAGAAGAGTCTCTGATAATGAGGCCGGTGTTGCGGATTTCTAAGAGGGAGGTCAAGGACATGCAAGTAGGATAACAGGGGTGCTCTGGGCAAAGCGGAGTCTGGGTGATGTTGCTCTCAGGCTTTAAGGTCTGATGGCTGTCGTGCTTTTATATTGGTTCACTTGCTATTGCCTCATTACTGCGATTGAAAGTCAGTATAACACAGGTGTTAGGGATCCACAAGGCTCAGCACTGATTAAAGTGACTTGGAATAAGGGGAAACTGATGAATTCTAAAACCTTCAGAGAAGAGCTCTTCATGATGGCAGGCGTGGGGAGGGGGTGCATGGAGAGGGAGAAGAAGGGAGAGAGAGCACCTGGGACAGATGGACAGACGGACCTTCTTCTAGCCCCTCCCATGTCGGTAAGCCGCTGCATCCCTCCAACATCTCTGCTCTCTCATCTTAGAATATATGTGATCATAAAACCACCCAACTGTGGAGCAGGAAGCCATGCTTCTAGTTTGGGACAGGGATCAGTTGGACTTTTCAAATCCTTGGGGCATTAGTTCTCCACATGTTCTGGTGGTCATCCCGTGGAGTTAGTGCTTTTGAAATCACAGGACGGAGTGGCAGATTTCATTTACAAGAGCAAAAATCAGATACATCTTTTAGTTAACTCTAGGCAAACAATAGCAGCGGGTAATAAGAATTTAAGAAAGTTTTGGGGGGAGGATAGTCCAAAAGTTGAGGAAATTCTATCTACTAACTTATTTTCCTTTTGCTGTATGAAGAAAAAAGAATTGCCATTTACCTTTAGGTTTGAAATCCCTCAGTTTCTTTCTTTAAGTAGGCTCCACACACAGTGTGGGGCTTGAACTCACAACCCTGAGATGAAGAGTTGAATACTCTACCAGTTGAGCGAGCCAGCGCCCCTGCCTCAGTGTATTTCTCCATACACAACTGTTCTTTTGAATCTAGTTTAAGGACCAGTTGTCCTAGGGGAGGCCAGAGACCCCATAGGGTCTTTCCTTGAGTATTGACTAACATGTAAAAAGGAACTCTTTCTCCGCAATAGCTGATTAGAAAGGGAGAAAAAAAGCAGCCTTGTGGCTCAGTTGTAGAAATAAACGTACAAAAAAAAAAAAAAATCAGAATTCTTTTCCTTAAGTATATGTCGTTGGGGCGTTGATGCTGATAAGTCCCAAAGGGTATTTTTAGAGAGAGAAGGTGCAAGCGGGGGAGGGAGGAAAAGGAAGTCAGGGCCCATACATCCAGAAGTGCAAGGGGCACATTCTGATTTCCTATAAAATGTTCAAGGGTGGATGGGATGGGAGGTGGGCGGGCACATAGTGCAAATGGGTAAGGAACGCTGTATGTGAGACAGACACAAGGTCTCCCCAGAAAGCACCAATTCTCAGGCGGCTACACAGAATCACTATATGCCAAGATCCCACCCCATGAGAACCTGATACAGCTGGTTTCTGGGCATGGGGCTCAGGAATCAATGTTTTTAAAAAGCCCTCCTAGTGATTTTAATGTACAAGCCCAGGTTGAGACGCACTGATCTCTTAGGGTAGAGAGAGGGAGAACTTAGGAAGGTGCCTTCCCAGACCAGGTCTCTTGTGCCTATTTTTCTTAGTCCTTCCCACTTCCTTTGACCTGAATCTGGACTTTAAGGCTGAACTTCGAAACTCAGCTATACTCTTCTTCTTCTTCTTTTTTTTAAATTGAGGTAAAATTGGTATATAACATTATTTAACTTTCAGGTGTACAACATTGTATGTTGCCATCTGTGTGTCTTACAAAGTGATCACCACTACAAGTCTAGTTATGATCCATCACCCTATAACTGACCCCCTTCAACCATTTCAACCACTTCCATCCCCCACCCTTCTGCTCTGTAATTATCTACCTGTTCTCTTGTGTCTATGAGTTTGTTTTTGTTTTGTTTTCCTTTGTAGGTTCCACAGATGAGTGGAATCATACGGTATTTGTTTTTCTCTGTGTGTCTTATTTCACTTAGCATAATACCTTCACGGTCTATCCATATTGTTGCCAATAGCAAGCTGAGTAGTATTCCATTATAGTACACACACACACACACATCTTCTTTTTCCATTCATCCACTGATGAACATTTAGGTTGTTTCAATTTCTTGGTTATTGTAAATGATGCAGCAATGAACAGGGGAGTGATATATCTTTTTGAGTCAGCATTTTTGTTTTCTTTGGATAAATAACCTAGAAGGGGGATAGCTGGATCATAGGGTAATCCTATTCTCTCTCTCTCTCTTTTTTTTTTTTAAAGAAATATCCGTACTATTTTCCATAGTGGCTGCACCAATTTACATTCACATCAATTGGGTATGAGAGATCCCTTTTTTCCACATCCTCGCCAACATTTGTTATTTCTTGTCTTTCTGGTACTAGCTGTCCTCACTGGTCGGAGGTGATACCTCATTGTGGTTTTGATTTCCATTTTCCTGATGATAAGTGATATTGAACATCTTCCTATGTGTCTGTTGGCCATCTGGATGTCTTCTTTGAAGAAATGTCTATTCAGATTGACCATTTTTAAATTGGATTGTTTCTTTTTCTTTGTTGTATGAGTTCTTTATGTATTTTGGATCCTAATCCTTTTATTGGATATATGATTTACAAAAATCTCCCATTCAGTAGATCATCTTTTTGTTTTGATGACCATTTCTGTCACTGTGCAAAAGATTTTCAGTTTGATGTAATTCCATGTGTTTATTTTTGCTTCTGTTTCCCTTGCTTTTGGAATCGGATCCACAAAAATTACCATTGAGTCTCATGTTGAGGGGCTTACTGCCTATGTTTTCTTCTAGGAATTTTATGGTTTCAGATCTTACGTTCAGGTTTTTAATCCATTTGGAGTTAATTTTTGTGCATTGTGTAAGATAGTGGTCAAACTTTATTCTATTGCACGCAGCTGTCTAGTTTTTCCAGTTCCATTAAAAAATATATATAGTTTTTCCAGCTCCATATAAAAAAATTATTTATTTATTTATTTATGAGAGCGAGCGAGTGAGAAAGTGAGCATGAGGAGGAGCAGAGAGAGAAGCAGACTCCCTGCTGAGCAGCGATGCCCTATGTGGGGCTTAATCCCAGGTCCCTCAGGATCATGACCGGAGTTGAAAGCAGACGCTTAAAGGACTGAACCACCCAGGGGCCCCTTTTTAGCTTCATTTGTTGAAGAGAATGCCTTTTCTCCATTGTATGTTCTTGGCTATTTTATCATAAAGTAATTGCTCATATATGTGTATGTATATGCTCATATATGTATATGGGCTTAATTCTGGGCTCTCCATTTATCATCACTGATACGATATTTAGGCTAATATGATACTGTTTTGATTACTGTGTTTTATAGCATAGTTTGAAACCAGGGACTGTGATACCTTCACCTTTGTTCTTCTTTCTCAGCAGTGATTTGGCTACTGAAGATCTTTTGTGGTACCATGCAAATTTTAGAATTATTTGTTCTGGTTATGTAAAAAGAAACAATTCACTGGAATTTTGATAAGGATCGAACTGAATCTGTAGATTGCTTTGGATAGTATGGACATTTTAACTCTGTTCTTGCAATCCATGATCATGGAATATTTTTTCCATTTATTTGTATCTTCATTTTCTTTCATCAGTGTCTTATAGTTTTCAGTGTGTAGGTCTTTCACCTTGGTTAAATTTATTCCTAGGTTTTCAATGCAATTTAAATGGAATTATTTTCTTAATTTCTCTTTTTGATAATTTGTGATTAGTATATACAAATGCCACAGATTCCTGTGTGTTGATTTTGTATCCTGCCACTTAACTGAATTCATTTATTAGTTCTAACAGTTTTTTTGGAGTCTTTTGAATTTTCTCTATGGTATGGTATCATGTCATCTGCCGATAGTGACAGTTTTGCTTCTTCCTTTGTCATGCAGAGTCTAAGGGTTAGAAGCCTGATGTGGAGCACCGACCCCTCACTTCTTAGGAAAAAATTCTGTATTTTGAGACCCTGCCTCATTGTGGAACACAACACTTATGGTGGAGTCTTTTTTGGCAAGGTAGGGTCTTTGCCTCTCCTACCCATCTCAGTGCTGTCCTTTTTGTCCTTTGTTGTGGAGGCTCTGTTCATCCAATTTGTTGGTCTTTTTTGTGAGAAAATTATTATTGTATATTTGTTGGATCCATGGGAAGGAGTGAGTTCCATCTTCTTATGCCACCATCTTGAACCCAACTGCACCCTCTCTTATTTTTATTTTTTTTTTACCTTCTTACAAGGTCAAAAAGCTTAGATACAGTTGCTGTGCAAGGTGTCTGAAAGGGCAAATGTCTTTGCTGATGGATTATGCCCTGAATCATGGCACTCTGGCAGATAGTTCTTCCTGGGAATAGAGCAAAGCATTTTCTATTTCATAAATTAAGATAAATCATTCCCTCACCATTTGTCTATAGCTGTATCAGACCATGCCAAACAGCTTTATTGTTTGAATTGTTAGATTTCCAAGCTTATACAAAATCCAAGTTTTATTAATAGCACATAATTACCACATGTTTCAATTTTCTATAAACACAGAAATTCAGTAATTAGCTTTAGAATTATATTACAATATGAAAGTAGAACCACAATGGCTATAAATGCCATTGTGTGTTACATTTCTAAAAATAAAAAAATAAAATGTTCATTATCTTGTCAGTGATTCAGCTCCACACAAAGCACTCAGTGGAATTGCCCAGTATTCATTCAACTGCTTTGTGTCAGCTCTAGGGACATTAGTAGCAAAGGACATGATATCACTGTGAAGGCCAGTAAACAGGGGCCTCATCCTCCTGCCTCCCAGAATGGCATTTTTTGCATCTAGATGAGCCGTGGCACGTATTGTTACATTATTATTCCTTCCTTTTCCGAAGTGAAATTGAATCACTGTAGAATCTCTTCTTCTCTAGAAGGAAACTCCCTATCAGTGAGCTATTGCTTGTTAAGACAAATGCATTAACTGGCTTTGACCACTAAGGAGGCATTCAGCTATATTCTGGGAAAGCAAGAAAAGGGAGCTCTGTGAAAAGCTGTCAACTGGACAGAATGCTTAGCCCCGACTGACAGCTCCGCAGGCCATTCCATACACCTGAAATGCAAGAGTCTACTGGTGACATCTTTGCATGATTTTGGATTCTTCTCCTTTAAGCAAATGGAAGTTTTGGTCCCTACCCAGTGGGTGAGATGTGATGGTATATAGATTCAACTTTCTCCCTTCCCAAGGAAGCACACTGTTTTCATTTCCATGGAGACACAGTGTGGTACAGTGGTATAAAAAGAGACCTGGGAGCCTGTGACTACTGGAAATCCTGCTAGCATTCTGCTGCAGGGTTTGGACTCCTTACCTTCTTTTACCTCAATATTCTGAGATTTCTGAAATCTGAATCTGAAAGACAAAAGCTGAATCTGAAAGAGAAAAATCTCAACTTTTATAGCCCCTAAGAGTATTTGCTGGAAGAATACTGGCTGTCTATTTAGGGTAACTTCCCACTTACCTTTCAGTGTTCTCGATGTCTGTGGAAACCTGCCAGGAATGTTGCTGAATATCTACAGGGGATGATGAGGAGTCCTCTAGAGCAGGTGTTTCTGTGCTCTCCTCAATTTTGCAATCCAAACTCTTGGTTCCCCCGCCAGGCTCCTTTCCTATGTCGGGGACAGTTGGAGGGGGGGATGTTGGTAAAGAGAAGAGGAAAAGAAATCATAAATTCAGGTTCTGTAGCCAAGATACCATTGCAAGGATCATCTGCTTTGAGTTATAGGCTCCATTAACCCTAATAACTTTCTGAATACTAACTACAATACTAATTCAGTTTCTGAATAACATGAATATAGATATCTCTTTCTCTGGCTATATAAATACATGTACTTGCGTGTGTGTGTGTGTGTGTGTGTGTGTGTGTGTGTAGCATGTTTCACAATATTCTGCAAAAGATAGTTTGAGGTCAGTACAACAAGATCAAGGCAAAATAAGGGTTCATTCTTTGATGCAATATGGGGGCTCTATAATCCATTCTTAGTGAGGTAGATCAGGTCAGCTTGGGAGGGGGGTTTCAGTCTGTGAAATCAAATTGATTTTTGGTTCTTGGATTCAAGGGCAACTAAGATGGCCAGGAACAGATGATAGCCCTCAGGAAGAATGGGAGCTCTGGCCCTTTTCTCTGATTCTGACCTTGGCTGTCTTGGATTCCTATCTCTTAATCAAATACACATTTTGGGACCCAGTATGTGGAAAGTAGTACTATCTTAGTATGTGGGAAACAGGAAAGATTATGGACTTGACTTCCATTTCCTTGCCTTTCCAACCTCTTTTAGTTTATGCTTCTGTGGGGGTATTCCCTCACAGCCTCAAGTTCAGCCTCAAGATCCAGACTTGCTCTGCTGAGACCATAAAGTACCATCAACTAAAGGGCCATGGAGTTCCTGGGTAGCTGTCCACGGCAATGCACGGCCAATCCACTAGGACTGTATTTAGCATGCCTAATCTCAAGTGAAAAAATCAGTACTTTCTAGAGACAAATCTCCAAATTGGTTCAGTAATAAATTCATATGACGTTAAATGGGAGTTATAGTCTATGGCCCAGAAAGCCTCCGTTAACATCTTTGATTCGGCCGTGAACTTTGTCTTCTGCAGGGGTGTGTCCTGAAACCATGGGAATGACCGATCATGAAGTCAGAGAACTGAATTTTGTCAGTTGTTCATTCACTCTTTCATTCGTTTATTCACTTACATATATTTCCTGAGTGTTAGCCAAGTATCAGGTACTGGGATTGATGCTGGATTGTTTCTTTTACCCTTTTACGCAGTGTTATTTGTAGTGTGTAGCTGCAGCTAGAGACAAGTTGTTAAGAATTTGTTATAGCCCACATCATTGAATATCCATGAGATAGCAGCTACACCAGGTTACCTCTCATCTGTTTCCCTATTCCTGATGTGTGTTTTGCATGGTTAAAAAAAAACAACATAGGGGTGCCTGGGTGGCTCAGCTGGTCAAGCTGTCTGCTTGTGGCTCAGGTCAGGACTTCAGAGTCCTGGGATAGAGCCCTGCGTCGAGCTCCCTGCCCAGTGGAGAATGGGCTGCTCCCTCTCCCTCTGCTTCTTCCAGCCACTTAGGCTCTCTCTCTTCCCTCAAATAAATAAAATCTTTAAAAAAAACCCAATATGAACAAAACAATAAAACAAACACACTTGTGAACAGGATGGTAAAATCTAATAGGAAGATTTTCCCTTGGATTCCTGGCTGAAGGAGACTAGCAGTAAATCTCATCCCGGGGCGCCTGGGTGGCTCAGTGGTTTAAGCCTCTGCCTTCGGCTCAGGTCATGGTCTCAGGGTCCTGGGATCAAGCCCCACACGGTGTGGAGCCCCGTGTCAGGCTCTCTGCTCAGCAGGGAGCCTGCTTCCCCCTCTCTCTCTGCCTGCCTCTTTGCCGGCTTGTGATCTCTCTCTGTCAAATAAATAAATAAATAAAATCTTAAAAAAAAAAATCTCATTCCTGACAATTCCAACCTATATGGCGGCAACACCAGGAAACAGAGACAAGCCATTAAGTTGTAATTAACTGTTCACCATTCATCAACCTATAGTTGAAATGGACCTCGGAATATTCAGCCAAAGCTCAAACACAAGTTTGCTGATGAGAACTTTTGATCCTTTTGTGTGTACTTTATGCTCATTGATCCTGAGTGATGGAACTGCTTTTCCAATTTTATGGTATGCTGTTGGGGTGAAATTTAATTAAGCACGTAATTTAGCATATTATCATTTCACAGTTGGAGGCCACTGACCTCTTAAAAGCAATTGCATTGCGCTTCCTGGGAGAGTGCAACAAATTCAGTCCATCTGCCACCCCCCACTGGGCAGGGTTGGCCTTAGGAAGCAGTTCTGCAGGGGTGGCTGAGATCTGAGAGAGAAGCAAAAGTGGGGGAGGGGGTGTCCCTAAAATTCTGAAGGATTGGGCCATCTGAAAGCACACATGGCTGCTGTGGTCCTCCTGTGGAGCAGAAATGCCTTGGGGAACACAGCATGGTTTGGGCAGCAAAGGGAGAGGAAGAAGATACACACACAGACCCGGTCCTCCGCGTATCGGCTTTGCTTGGCTTGGGGCCACCATAGCCCCTGTCCTGTGGTCAGAGCTTTCATTCAAATGAGGACAGGGGAGGACACAAGGTAGTGTGATGCTCTTTCTCGGAGCCCTCTCTTTATCTCATTCATATATATATATATATATGCACACACAGAGATGATATACTTTTTACGTAAAAAGGCACAAATAGAATCCTTTCCACAAGCAGTGTGTTTACACTTACTGCCCATAATGCTTCTACTGCTTCTATAAGACAAATATCATTCTGTAACCTTTTCAAAGTAAAATAACGGTCCATATATTCCTGAAACACACATGTGACACACCTGTGAGCTTGTAATGCCAAGTCATCTCCTCCTTCTCTTCCTTTTTCAGGAACTAGTTCTAACTCTGCTAATGTAGATGAACAAAAATAAAAACCTTGGATGTTGGACTTGCAGTTTAGTGCTTTCTAGCAGCTCACACAATCTCTGCAGAATTTTGATCATATTGTTTCTTCTCTGGCTGAAACATCTTGAAAAGACAGAAGGGATCAGTATGAACTTAAGGGGTTTTCAATTCCATAGTATTTGTGGGGTCAAGTTCACTCTGCTTGTAGATAATAACTTTCTGGAGGGCATCCCTTCCCAGTATGGAGTCTGTTTATTGCCTTCATGGTACTTATCTCTTTTACAAATTATCTTGCTTATGTATTGGTTAACAAATTAAATACATTTTTATTATATTTATTTTTTAATAGTTTATTTATTTAAGAGAGAGAGCGAGTGCCTGCACAAGCAGGGGGAGTGGCAGAGGGAGAAGGAGAAGTAGGCTCCCCACCGAGCAGGAAGCCCGATGCGGGGCTCTATCCCAGGCCCCGGGGAGCGGGACCTGAGCCAAAGGCAGATGCTCAACCCACTGAGCCACCCAGGCACCCCAATACCTTTTTAATAGTACATAAATTTGAATACACTTTTTTCTTGTAACTCTTTCTTATCTCTAATGCTGTGTATTCATGGCTCCTGATTACTTTGTATACCATCTCCTGGGTTCCACATCTTTAGCTTTCTTGGATTCAGTTTTCATTTTGTTGCAGCATATCCTTGACTGATTATTTCAGAGCCTATCTGGAATGCAAAATTTTTATTCTTTAAGTAACTGAAAATACTTTTTTCTTCTATCTCTCTCTTCCCCTCTCTCTCTTTGTGCTCACACTTAAAGTTTAATTGGCTGGATGTAGAAATCGATCTTAAAAGTAAATTTCTCGGACGCCTGGGTGGCTCAGTTGGTTAAGCAGCTGCCTTCGGCTCGGGTCATGATCCCAGTGTCCTGGGATTGAGTCCCACATTGGGCTCCTTGCTCGGCGGGGAGCCTGCTTCTCCCTCTGCCTCTGCCTGCCATTCTTGCTCTGTCTGCCTGTGCTTGCTCTCTCTCCCTCTCTCTCTCTCTCTGACAGATAAATAAATAAAATCTTTAAAAAAAAAAAAGTAAATTTCTCTCAGAACTTATCTTATCTTACCTTATCTTATCATACCTTATCTCTTGTCCATTTCCACAGTGATTTGTATGGAGCCTGTTTACAGCTCTCTGAAAAATTTGTAGGGTATTATCTTTAAATTTTTGATTTATGAGACGGTTCCTAAATTTGTGTAAGTGTAGCTTCTCTTTCTGTTCATCTTTGTTGGCATTTGATTGGCATTTGCAACCTATCTCCCCTTTTTTATTCTGGAAATTTGCAAACCACCTGCAAACTTGCAATAACACAACGGACACCTAGATATTCTGGTCTCACCAACTGTTAACATTTAGCTGTATTTTATTTCTTTTGAATTTAATTGAATTTAATTTAATTTCTCTATATGTATGATATGTATATAGGTCTCATATATATAGATTATATGGATTATATGTAATTTCTATATTTAAAACTACAAATAAATATCATTTTTATGACCCATTTAAGAGTAAGTTGCAGACATTAATAACACTTTATTCTAAATACTTCAGCATGCATCTCCTAAAGAACAAGTATGTTTTCCTCCATAAGCTCAAAACAATGATTGCACCAAAAAAATATTTAACTTGGATTAAATATCCAATACAATTTGATACAATACTATTAATTAATTTGTGGACTATATTCGCATTTCCCTAGTTGTTTCAATAATGTTTTTTCTAGCTTTTTCTTAATCAAAGGCTCCAGTTAAGGACTGTGCCCTCTATTTGGTCGTTGTTTTTCTTTCTTCTCCTGTTGTGTAGAAGAGCACCCTAGTCTTTTTGTCTCTCATGTCATTAATATTTTTGAGTGAAGAGTTCAGGCTGGTTGTTTTATAGAGAGTCTTTCAGTTTGGATTTGTCTTCTTGTTTCTGCATGTCTGGGTTCAGAGTAAACATTTTTTGGCAAGTGTATTATAGAAGTGATACTGTATCCTTCTTAGAGCAGTGCATCTGAAAGCTCATGAGTCACTTTGTCCCATTGTTGTTAAGTATTATTGATTGCTTGGTTTCGGCCCAAAGCTTTCATTCCAATGGGAAAAAGGGACCCATCATTATAGATGTACCCTATTCCCTTAGTAATTACT